CCTTAAATGCCTACTATGATACAGGCAATATTCTAGGTACACGGAATTAGACCTGAGCTTCCGATCTAGTGGATACATAAATAGATATAGCAGAGGAGATGGCAAAGAATGTTAAGAAGACCAACCAGGGCTGGGTGCAGTGGCTCATGCCTGTAATTCCAGCACTTTGGGAGGTCAAGGCGGGCGGATCACCTAAGGTAAGGAGTTCGAGACCAGCATGGCCAACATGGTGAAATCCTGTTTCTACTAAAAATACAAAAATTAGGGCTGAGCGCGGTGGCTCATGCCTGTAATGTCAGCACTTTGGGAGGCCGAGGCGGGCGGATCACCAGGTCAGGAGATTGAGACCATCCTGGCTAACACGGGGAAACCCTGTCTCTACTAAAAATACAAAAAATTAGCCGGGCAAGGTGGCGGGCTCCTGTAGTCGCAGCTACTCGGGAGTCTGAGACAGGAGAATGGCGTGAACCTGGGAGGCGGAGCTTGCAGTGAGCCGAGATTGTGCCACTGCACTCCAGCCTGGGCAACACAGCGAGACTCTGTCTTAAAAAAAAAAAAAAGAAAAAAAAAGAAAGAAAAGAAAAAGACAAACCAGGATGAAGGGGATGTCAAGTGATGGAGATGGTGCAGTTTGGCAGAGCTCTCTGATAAAGGGACATTGGAGCAGAGCTCAGTAAAATGTAAGGCTGGAGGTCTAGGCCTGACTCCACCTGGCAAGCTAAGGTTTCTAACCCAGATGTCCTCCTGCTTGTCTGGGACCAGGGGGAAAGTTGAAGAGCTACAAACCTGCTCTCTGGGAAAAGAACTTCCCAGACAGAGGGACCCCAAGAGCACAGGCCCAGCTGAAACTGCCCGAGTGTTCAGGAACAGCCAAGATCTGCATGGCTGGAGTGAGGTGAATCGGGGTGAAGTGGGAGGAGAGATCAGAGCTCATGTAGGCCTTGGGAGTCATCTGCGGGCCTTGGATTTTGCTCTGAGGTCATTGGAGGGTTTTGAACAGAGGAGTGACTTGACCTGACATTTTATAAGGACAATTCTAATTGCTATTTGGCAGACTGTGTGGGGCAAAGCTGGAAACAGGGGACAAAGTTCAAGAGATTTGCAAACACAGTAGTCAGAGGGCCTAGGTGGTAGCAATGAAGGTGGTAAGAAGTCCTCCAAGCCAACAGGTTGCCTGCTGAATTGTATGCATGATATGAGAGAAAGAAAGGATTCAAGAATGATGCTCCAGGTTTAGCCTTAGCAATTCCTGCTGCCATTTACTAAGATAGGAAAGAATGGGGACGGGAGCAGCAGGTTGAGGGAGGGCATCAAACTTCTGCTTTGGAGATGTTAGGTTTGAGGTGCCTGTTAGGTATCCACACGGCGACACCAAGAAGGCAGTTGGAAACTGGAGTCTGGGGTCTGGAAGAAGAGGTCTGGGCTGGAGATGTAAATTTGCATACAGATGGTACTTAAAGTCGGGAGGTTGAGGCAGGAGAATCACTTGAAACCAGAAGGTGGAGGTTGCCGTGAGCCGAGATCACACCCCTGCACTCCAGCCTGGGCAACAGGAGCAAAACTCCATCTCAAAAAACAAACAAACAAACAAACAAACAAAAGATGATACTTAAAGTAATGAGAATGGATAAGATTACCTGGAGAGTGAGTACTGGTAGAAACAGAGATGGTCTAAGACTGAGCCTTGGCACTTCACTCGCTATCTAGAAGTTCTTTCCGGCAGATCTTGGTATAGGAAAGAAATTCATTTGGGTAAACTGAGGCCTGGGTTTTAAATATGCTAACTCCTCCCTACAAAATTCCCAGCCTTCAGGACCTCAGATCCTTGAGAGGTGAACTGAGGCACCACAAGGCCATTACAGGAAAGGAAGACAGAGTACTATTTCATGTGTGACCTGGACAAGTCACGTATTCCTCCCTAGGCCTCAGTGGTCTTTGTAAAAGGAGTGGTGAACACTTGGTGTCTAACGGACCTTCCAGCTTGCTTGCATGCAATGAGTTTTAACTCCAGAAAGTCTGGTGCACTCAGCAATTGTGACTGGCCTTGACAGATGGTTGGGTTGCTGCCTCATTCCCCTCATCTGGCTCTCGTTGTCTACCATACAAAGTTGATCCTCGCTATTCATGGATTCTGTATTTGCAAATTCTCCTACTACCTATAATTTATAACTCCAAAACCAGTACTTGTGGTCTTTTGCCAGTCATTCGTTGACATGCCCAGAGCTTCAAAAACTTTAGCCCAATGTGCTTGTTCTTAGCTGATGTCAAAACCAGGCTCCATTCTGCCTTCTTGCTCCAGCTCTCACACTGTAAACAAGTGTCCTTTTCATAGTCTATTTAGTGTCATGTTTTTCCCATTTTTATGCTTTTTATTGGTGATTTTGCTGTTTAAAATGGCCCCCAAGCATAGTGCTGAAGCGCTGTCTAACGTTCCTGAGCAGGAAAAGGCTGGTATAGCCTCACAAAGAAAATACCTGTGTTAGACAAGCTTCATTCTGGCATGAGTTACAGCACGTCTGGTTGGCCATGAGTTCGATGTTAATGAATGAACAATATATAGTAAATAAAGTGTCTTTAAACAGAAACACACACAAAACAAGGCAGTGTATTGATTGGTTGATGAAAATGGTATGACCAGAGGCTCATAGGACCCTAACTCTGTATTTCCCCTTGGAATAATGCTTCAGTATTTGTTAATTCAGTATTTACAGTGATTTATAGAATGTAGCCACTGCAATGTGTGAGAATTGACTGTATTAACTTGTTTTTTCAACCCCAGTATGCACACACGTAAAGTAGTTTCAGAACCGCTAACCCATACCTCTGTGAGGAACAAATTTACTTACTACAGTACAGTACTTGTATAGAGTTCTTTCTGTTTTTGTTGTGTAACAAAAACCACGTTCAGTACAGTTCTTGTCTTTAGTCTTATAGCATCCATTCAAAACTGTTTTCTGAAGTTACTTCTGTTAGTTATTTTCTTTTCCATCTCTTTCAATGTTAAGTATATGATTTATTTGTATTACGGTTTTATTTCTTAGTTTGTATTCCATTTTGGGTTCCCCTAACATTCAGGTGAATTTTTAAAAATTTCCAAACAGTAAAATTCACTTTTTATGTTATATGGTACAATAGGTCTTGACAAGCATAGAGTTATGAATTTACTACCACAATCATGATAGAGAACAATTCAATTACTCCAAAAATTCCCTTGTCCTGCCTCTCTATAGTCAGCTTCTCTCCCCACCACTAACCCCTGGCAACCACTGATCTACTTTTTGTCCCTATAGTTACGCCTTTTCCAGAATGTCATATAGAAGAAATCATGCAATATTCAACTTTTTGGGTCTGACTTCTGTCACTTAGCAAAACGCATTTAAGATTCCTCCACGTTGTTGTGTCAAGCAGTAGTTGTCCGTTTTCATGACTGAGTAGTATTCCACTCTAGCACTGTTGGAGGCACCACAGTTTGTTTATCTATTTGCCAGTTAAAGAATATTTGGCTTATACCAGTTTTTGGTAATTATGAATAAAACTGCTATAACCATTTAGGTAGTGGGTTTTATGTGAACATGAGTTTCCCTTTTTCTTGAGCAGGTGGGATTGTAGTCATATGGTAGGTGTTTATAAGAAATTGCCAACTTGTTTTCCAAAGGGAGCTGTATCATTGCATTCCCACAAGTAATGAATGAGAGTTCCAGATGCTCCACAACCTCACCAGCACTTGGTATTGTCAGCTGTTTTTATTTATTTGCTATTCTAATAGATTTGTAGTGGTATCTCAATGTAGTTTTAATTGAACATTTCTCTAATGACTATGATGTTAAACATATTTCCACATGCTTATTTTTCATTTCTATATCTCTTTGGAGAAGTGCTTATTCTAATCTTTTGTCCATTTTTTTTTCTAGTGGTGTTTGTTTTCTTATTGTTGAGTTTTGAAGATTCCTTCCCCTCCCTTCCTTCCTTCCTTCCTTCTTTCCTTCCTTCCTTCCTTCTTTCCTTCCTTCCTTCCTTCTTTCCTTCCTTCCTTTCTTCTTTCCTTCCTTCCTTCCTTCTCTCCCTCTTTCTCTCTCTCTTTCTCTCTTCAGAAAGAGTCTCACTCTGTTGTCTAGGCTGGCATGCAGTGGTGATCACGTCTTGTTGCAGCCTTGAATTCTTGGGCTCAAGGGATCCTTCCGCCTTAGCCTCCCAAGTAGCTGAAGCTACAGGTGTGTGCCACTATGCCTGGCTAATTTTTATTTTTGTAGAGATGGGAGGTCTCACTATGTTGTCCAGGCTGGTTTCGAACTCCTGGAGTCAAGGGATTCTCCTGCCTCAGCCTCCCAAAATGCTGGGATTACAGGTGTGGGCCACCACACCTGGCTGAGGTGTCTTTAGATATTTGTAATTATTTAGTGATTTGTAAATATTTTCTCCCCATCTGTGGCATATTTTTTTATTCTCTTAACAGCATCATTTGCAGAACAAATTTTAAATTTTGATAATATCTAATTTATCTTTTTTCTTTTATGAATCATGCTTTTGGTATTTTATCTAAAAACTCCAACTAACTAAGGTCTCAAAGATTTTCTCTTATGCTTTCTTCTAGAAGTTTTTAGTTTTACATTTTACATATGATTCACATGTAAACTGATGCATTTATTTATTTATTTATTTAGAGACAGAGTCTCACTCTGTTGCACATGCTGGAGTGCAGTGGTATGATCTCGGCTCACTGGAACCTCCGCCTCCTGGGTTCAAAAGATTCTTCTGCCTCAGTCTCCCGAGTCGCTAGGATTACAGGTGCACACCACCACCCCACTGGCTAGTTTTCTTGTATTTTTAGTAGAGACGAGGTTTCGCCATGTTGGCCAGGCTGGTCTCAAACTCCTGGGCTCAAATGATCTGCTCACCTCAGCCTCTCAAAGTGCTGGGATTACAGGTGTGAGCCACCACACCTGTATAAACTCATGCATTTAAAATTAACTTTGAATTAATTTTATAATAACTTTGAGAGGTTTGAGAGTCATTTTTTTGCCTATATTTGTCCAACTGTTCCAGCACCATTGTTGAAAAGACTTACCTTTAAGTGGTCTTTTTGCATCAGTTAAGAAAACAGATTGAGTTCCACAAGGAATTGAAATGGTAGAACCCTAAAAAAAGCATATGGAAGGTGAGGGGATCAGAGAGATGGTCCATGTACCAAATAATTCACCAGCTGTGATAATTTACGAAATGAGAGGTGGTCAAGAGGACCTAAATCACCTAGGACATTACAGAAATCAAGGTGAGGCTTTGTACGTACTGCTCACAAGTCATTAAATGAAGAGAGGGTTGTTGAGCCAACCTTAGGCAGATCTTCAGGGGAAGAATGAGCCTCCCTGACATTCCCATGCCCGCGGCAGTGAGGTTCATGACGTCCCAGGGCTCTGGCTTCTTGGAGTGGTGGGGTGAGGTGGATGCTGCAGCCTGGGCTGGAAGCCAGAGTGACTCATCAGCCCAGGGTGAGCATCTCGGGGGGATGTTGTTTTGTTTGCTCTCGCAATGAACCCCATTACAATAATAGCACCAAGGTGTCCTGGTGCTTTGACTGTTCTCTCCCTGGGCTCCTAATGGAGATTGACAGGATCTAGAGTCCAGGGTAATTCTATTGTCAGTTTCAGCAGCCTCCTGCACCTCATTAGACAAAAGCAGAGAGAAATGAGAAAAGAAGGAATGTCAGCCTCAGAACAGAGGGGGGCCTGCTAGAGTAAGCAGCTTTCAGGAGATGACAAGGTAGTGAGGAAATTATCTGGGCTTTCCAACTGGCCCCTGTAGGCTCTAGGTGGGAAATTGGGACGTCTGTGTCACAGCTCTGCAGAGCAGAGCCAGCATGAATGGTTCAGTTTCAACAGCAGTCCCTTTTCTTTAAGGGACAGAATGAGGGGAGTGTAAGATGACATCTTTTGTGTTGTCAGCCTTTGTGTTAGAGACTCCTCCTGGTGGTGGGGCCTAGCAGGGCAGGTGTTTCTGGGTGGCTTGGGTTTGAGTGGCAAGTGGATGGTGTCAGGGGTCAAAGCCTTATTACATTTATCTAGACCTTTAGGATTTCACTCAGGATACTGTATCCAATGTATAGGGAGAGAGAATCCTAGGCCTACAGGAAAGCCAGAATCCTTCATTGTCCCACACTATATCTTGTTTCCCAGCCTTGGCCAGAAGCACACAAAGATTTACATAGATAAACACGTAGCATACTTACCTTAGTGTGTTCAGGCTGCTATAGCAAAAATACCTTAGACTGGGTAATTTATAAACAACAGACATGTCTTTCTTATGGTTCCAGAGGCTGGAAAGTCTAAGACGAAGGCACAGGCAGGTTTGATATCAGGTGAGGACCACCCTCTGCTTCCAAGATGACAGCTTCTTGCTCATGTGTTGGAAGCGGCAAGGTTGCTCCTTTCAATCGTTTTTATAAGGGCATCAATCTCATTCAGGAGGGCACAGCCCTCATGACTTAATTACTTCCCCAAAAGCCCCACCCCTTAATACATGACATTGGGTGGTAGGTTCCAACATGGATTTTGGAGGGAAACCAACATTCAGACCATAGCAACACCCAACGCTTATACATACAAGCTCATGTACAAATACACACAACACTAATGCTTCTATTCATACTTTTTTTTTGTCTTTTTGTTTTTTGAGACAAGGTCTCACTCTTTCACTCAGGCTGGACTGTGGTGGCTTGATCATGGCTCACTGCAGCCTCAAACCTTGGGCTCAAGCAATCCTCCCACCTCAGCCTCCCAAGTAGCTGGGGGCTATAGGCATATGCCACCACATAGCTAATTTTTAAAAATTTATTTAGAGACAGGGTCTTGCTATGTTGCCCATGGTGGACCCAAACTCTTGCTCTCAAGCGATCCGCCCATCTCAGCCTCCCAAAGTGCTGGGATTATGGGCATGAGCCACTGAACCTGGTCCTCATAGGTAATTTTAAATACACAGATCACTAGACCAGACGTGTGCCAGTTACACATACAAACAACACACACAGGTCCATGCTGAAGGCATTTGGCTACAGAGTTTTTGTGGCTTATGACATCAGCCCCTTTGCTTTCTATTTACATCTTGGATATACACCGCTCACACACACATTCACACCCACCCACCATTCTCACAACGCACAGCACGTACTCAAACACCCAAGCCACAAACCTGTTCACATATACACAGTCTGCAGTCACATTTGCCAAACATACATGCTTCTTCTATTTCCACCACTTGTGAAAGTTCTTGACCAGTTGTGGTCATTCGGATGCCTGCCCATCCTGTGTGCGTACACCTATGTATGCCTCTCCCACACACTTGCAACAGGCCAAGCCAGCGTCTGTACAGACTAGCAGAGCAGAGAGTGTTTTCCATCTTTTTCCTGTCATTGACATGCAACACCTGTCCTGTCTTTAGTTTTTTGCACTCTGGCTTCGACTGAATTGAATGCCAGTCTGCCTGGCACAGAGCCCAGTGCAGCAGCCTAGAAGCAATTGTCCTGTGGGCATAAGCCTCCAAGAGCCCAGAATGGGTGCATGCCAACTCTGGAAGCACCATCAAGGAAAGAGGCCTCTGTAGGCGACCTCCCACCCCTCATCAGTGCTCTGGAAGGCCATGGGATGAGTCAGCACATGGCAACCTCTTTTCATCCCTGCCTTTCTTCTCCTCAAAATTCTGGTCATTTGGGTGTTCAAGGCCTTTGCCAAACAGAACGAGTGAGGCTTGAAAGAGATACTAGCTTAGAAAATCCACCATCAGAGTCTGGGCCATTGAATTTTCCATTAGCCTTTGCTTGTGCATTGCTGTAGCCTCATATCTAGAACAAGTCTGAAACAGTAAACCTTAACTGAATAAATACAAGTGTATGTTAGCCTATGAAATAGGACTAAATCTGTTTTGTCTTTCAGGACTATTTATAAATCATAAGGAGCAATGCAAATACCTTATGAGGAATTTTTGCTGTTATTGTGATCAACACCAGGTAGGTAAATCATTTCCTTCCCCCACTTCCCACGTTTCTGTCCTTACCTACTCCCAGCACCTTGAACTAGCTGTCACTGAGATAATGATACTAGTTACCATTATCGAGCACCTGTTCTGCTCCAGGTACTATACTAAACACTTTACAAATATCTCATTCTATCCTCACAACATCCTTGTTAAGTAAACATTATTGTCTGTATTTTATAGTCTGGGAATTTGAGGTTTTCAGGGGCTGAGCAGCTTGCCCAAAGTCACACAGCTAGTAGACAGCAGAGATAGGATTTGAACTCAGGTCTTTGCTTCTCAAACTCATGTAATCCTCACTCCACCAAGCTTACATTCAGCCATAGAATGCAAATTCTATCCATATATCTATTGTTTAAGCCTAAACCCCCTTTTCCATCTATGTCCATCTCAATTTTAAACTGTAAACCAGGCTATAAATCACAGGAATCATGTTTATTGAATTCATTTCATAGTGTTCAGCATACTTCCAGGAAGTAAGCTATATGTAGGTTTCCTTTTTTTTTTTTTTAAAATAATGGTTCCATAAATTTCACATTGTGTCTGAAGCTAAGAGACTTAAGTTCTAGCTTTTTTTCTTAAAAAAGAACAAACTAGGCTGGGCGCGGTGGCTCAAGCCTGTAATCCCAGCACTTTGGGAGGCCAAGACGGGCTGATCACGAGGTCAGGAGATCGAGACCATCCTGGCTAACACGGTGAAACCCCATCTCTACTAAAAAATACAAAAAACTAGCCAGGTGAGGTGGCGGGCGCCTGTAGTCCCAGTTACTCGGGAGGCTGAGGCAGGAGAATGGCGTAAACCTGGGAGGTGGAGCTTGCAGTGAGCTGAGATCTGGCCACTGCATTCCAGCCTGGGCAACAGAGCGAGACTCCATCACAAAAATAAAGAAAAGAAAAGAAAAGAAAAGAAGATAACAAACTATAAAGAGACGCAGTCTGAAGGGAAAACAAACTGTTTTTCACTACAGCATACTTCTGTGACCAGATGCATGGAGGCTTTTCCCCACACACCAAGAAATTCTCCAGCAGACACCAACTGGGTGTCCTATAATTCAGTTCCGTTCTCACACCATCTACTTGCAGTGAGAGTCGGATCCCACAGCTGATGGCTCAGTCTTACAAGACTGCCCCCAGTTCAGGTGCCAGTTGCAAGACTAAGGTTGTGACCTGTGCTTTTGACCAACCAACTATAAGTTGGGGTTTCCATGACTCCCTCCTTGATTTCAATGAATTTGCTAGAGCAGCTCACAGAATACTTACTTTACATTTACCAGTTTCTTTTAAAGGATATGATAAAGGATACAGATGAGCAGCCAGATGGAAGAGATGCATAGGGCAAGGCATGTGGGAAGGGACGCAGAGCTGCCATGTGCCTTCCGGAAGATCCACCCTCCAGGCACCTCCACAGGTTCAGCTGTCTGGAGCCTCCTGAACCAAGTTTTCTTTGTTTTTTATGAAAGCTTTATGACATAGGCCTGACTGATTACATCATCGGCCATAAAGGATCAACGCAACCTTCAGCCCCTCTCTCCTCTCCAGAGGTTCTAATCATACTGTGGTCTTTCTCGTGACCAGCCCCCATTCTGAAGCCATCTTGGGGCTCCCAGCCACCAGTTTCCTCTTAGCATCCAAAAGACACTCTTTTGTCAGAGATTACAAGGGTTTTAGGAGCTGTATGCCAGGACCAGGGACAGAGACCAAATCTGTATTTCTTATTGCATCAGGATAAAACACCTGGGTTTGAATCCAACACCATCACCTATTAGCAATGTAAATTTGCTCTTGTCATATTCTCTTTCTGGACTCAGTTTAAACGTTTGTAAAATGAAGTTCTGGATATGATGACCTCTTGGGTTCCTTCCAAACATGACTTTTCAACAGTCTGCTGTTTTACGTGCTACCAAATGGGAGTGGAGCTCTAAAATCATTTCATGCGCTCACATAGTGGGCCACTCTCACAATGCCATCTCCTGTCCCCTTGCGTGCACTGTCTCTGGTGGTCTGCTCCTGAGAAAGCACACAAAGTCAGGATGCAAAGTCCTCTCATTGGAGAATGAAGACACCCTTCATTCTGGTGTTGGTTGTGCGGAGCTTCCCAGAGCTGTTGTCAGTCACCTCACCCCAGTGCCAAACACTTGATGTGCTGAATACTCCCACACTCTTAATAAGCTTGTGTTAGGAATAAAACATAGTCCAGGGAGATGATTGAAGGGCTGGGAGAAGAGGGCTGTGGAGGGACGGGACCAGCTGAGGATGTGGGTGGTCAGACTCTCCTAGATTAACAAAGCCTCCAGATGCCTGTTGACAGAAGGGAGGGAGACAGGTTCTCACTGATAGGAAGACAGCAGCAATGCAGGTCCGACTCATGCATCCATTTCCTGTCATCAGCAGGTGCTTGGTAAGACAGTGTCACTGTTCTGGAAAGAGCTAGCCTGGGAGAAGGAGTCAGGATACTAGACCTGGCTGTGAGGCACTGGATGACTCCGGGCGAATCATTCACTGCCCCCCAACCACCGACCCTCCGGAACCTTGGTGTTCCTGTCTTTATGCAATTAAGTTCTTTGACACCTCATTAATCTGGAGGCGGAACCAAAGAACGCACACCATAGAAATGGCTACATCAAAGCCTTAGTCTCCAAATACATCTCTTCTTGTTCAAAAGCTTCTTGGAACAGAAGCAGACCTGACCCTCCTCCTCTTCTGCACCCCATGATGTCCACCCCCTGCTCTCTGTCATTCTCCACTCTCTACTTGCCTTCTGTCTCCCTTGTGAATCTCTTGTAAATGGAAGTCCTGGTCCCAGCAGCATGCTGGTAAATGTTTAACAAACAGCTTTGAGACTGGGGGGAATGCCTGGTTTGTGGAGCTTGCCTACTGCCAATTGTAAATACTCCTGCCATGACTAATTTCAAGATACCAAATATGACATCATTGAATGCAGAGCCAGGAAAACAGTCACAGTAGCACACTAATGTGTAGCATTTTTACCATACACATGGAACAGGTGTAAATGACCTCAAGAACACTGATAATAAAAGATAGTCAAAGAATTAGGAATTGATAACATTAGAGTATTTATTGCCTTTCCTTTTAATATCATTTATTAAATTATTATAACTTTATGTAATTTACTTTTCAATAATGGTGTGTTTAACAACTGGCTTATTAAATTCCTGAAAAATGCTTGGTCCTCCCCTTTAGCTCTTTCCAGATGAGTCTGTACATCCCCAAATTTGCGGGAGTACATGGCTGAGGCCCTTGCTGTGGGAAGCCTCTCGGGGAAAACAGGAGCATTTATTTCTGCTGCCATTTGTCTCCCTTTGTTAACTTTAGTTTCTCTTTCTGTTATATAAGATCTTCCTTCTAGATTCTCCTGCCTTTGTAAGGATGGTATTGAGAGAAATGAAATCAGGGCAGTAGTAACACCTTGCGTCTTATGGAATCTTCCAGTTTACTAAACCCAAATCTCATTACTTCTCACAGCAATTCTGTGAAGTGAGGTATGTGGAGCAGTGAGTTGCAGATGAACTATTTTACACCAGGTTGGCAAACTGTTTCTGTAAACGGGTAGAGGCTGGGTGCCGTAGCTCACACCTGTAATCCCAGCACTTTGGGAGGCTGAAGCAGGAGGATCGCTTGAGCACAGGAGTTTGAGACCAGCCTGGACAACGTGGCGAAACTCCAACTCTACAAAAGATACAAAAATTAGTCAGGCATGGTGGTGCACTTCTGTAGTCCTAGCTACTTGGGAGGCTGAGGTGGGAGGATGGCTTGAGCCCAGGAGGTCGAGGCTGCAGTGAGCCAAGATTGCATCACTGTACCCCGGCTTGGGCAACAGAGTGAGATCCCGTCTCAAAAAAAAGTTAAAATAAAATAAATAAACAAATAAAGGCATACAGACTAAATACTTTAGGCTTTGCAGACCATAAGGTCTCTGTTGCAACTACCTGGTTATTACTGAGTGAGAGCTGCCACAGATAATACGAAAACAAAGGAGTTTGGCCATTTTCCAATAAACTTTATTTATGGACTCTGAAATTTGAATTACATATAATTTTACATCTCACAAAGTGTTATTCTTCTCTTGATTTTTTCCAACCATTGAAAAATATTTTAAAAAAACCCATTAACTCACAGGCCATATAAAAACAAGCCCTAGGCGCCTTTCTCCCTTGGGCTGTGGGTGGGAGGTTGGCGGGGGGGGGGGGGGGGGGGGGCGGTCCCTGTTCTTCTCAGCTAAGGCTGGAGGCCAAGATCAGCCCTTGAGGACTATCATCAGAACTGCCTTGTTTTCCTGCCTCAGACGTGAAAAACAAAAACAAGCCGTAGGCAGAATTTGGCCTATAGGCAACAAAAGAGGAAATTAAGCTTCAAAGAGAACAATGACTTGTTCAAGTTCATCTAGATCGGCAGAGTTGGTCCTGGCATGGTTCCAGGTCCCAACTTTCCACTAAACCCACCTGCCACAAAAGGTGCCCTTCCTGCTCCTCAACACACCTTCTGGGCCCTGCAGGTGAATTCTCCACTGGGGGCCTTCTATAGCCCGCTAAGTGCTTTTGGACCACTTTCTCTTACTGCTCATTTCTGTCTCTTTAAGTGTGGTGAGCCTTCCCATGCATCAAAGTAAAAAGCAAAAGACATTTGGACATGTATAGTCAGGCAATTTGCTCCCCCTCCATTAAAGCAGAAAATAAAGAGCTCACTGTCTTTACAACTGTTGATTTTATGATTCTGTCCTATTTTCTCACAGGTATCCTAAATTTCCACCAAGCAGGGACTGCCTGTTTGTTATTCTGTTTCTTCAAATGTCTAGTCCAGCAATCTTCCTGCAGGACACTTGGGAAAGAATTCAGTGACTAATGATTAAGCTCCCCTCCAGCCTGGCATTGTATAACAAGAAATGGGTGTGACCCACCTGTGTGATTTATTTCCCCTCAATATGTTATTACGAAAAATGCAAAAATTCAGAAGAGTTTAAAGAATTGCACAGTGAACACCCATATGCCCACAATCTAGATTCTATAACTAACATTTTGCTATATTTGCTTTACCCCAAATCTGTTCATCTATCCATCCACGTGTTTTCTTCTGTTGTTGACACATTTCGAAGTTGCAGATATTGGTACGCTTTAACCTCTAAATACTTCAGTATCATATTGTTAATTGGAGTTCAATATTTGTTTATGCTTCTTCTTATTTATTTTTTGACCTGGTGGAAACGTGAAAGACTCTGGAGGCTGCCTCCAGAATATAGATCCCCACCCACTCCACTGACCCTTGAAGACTTTACTTGGGCATTTCTTTCCTTATAGCCTTTCCAAGGCTTTGGCAATCAATGCACATACCCTTGGTAGAGATCACTCATTAAGTCCACTCAGTGGATGCTGGAATAGCAGCAACAGCCTTCAGTCAGGCCTGGGTTTGAATCCCTTTCCACTCTGTCACTCACAGTTGTGTGCCCTTAGGCAAGTTTTGTTTTTTTTTAAATTTCTCCAAGCCTCTTCGCATGTAAAATGTGGCTAATAATAACTATCTTGTGATAGTAATAGTGAGGACTGCAAATTCAGAACTACCTGTAAATGGTAGCGCGGTAGGATAATAAGCTAGAGATAGTGACCATGTCCATTTTCCTGACTGTGGGCTTGACACAAAAGAATGAGAGCCACTTCCAACTTCACCCCAACTCCATTCAGGGAAGACCGTCCTAGCTGCGTGCTGGACTTAGGCTCTTCTCATGCAGGTGGAGTTAAAGGCTTCTCTGTGCTTCCACTGTAATTTAAAAAGACAAAACAAAACAAAGCCCTCCTTACCGTGCTGAGGAGGATTTGGCTCCACAAGAGAGGGGAGGTAGGTTGCTGCTTGACAGGAACTGGGGAGTGGGTTGAACTGTGGGGCAGAATGTAGGGGAGTGAGTGAAGAGGCGGGATGTGTGGGGGTGAAGACCTGCGCTCGATGCCCACACAGCCACCCAGGACACAACAGAGCCTCTTCTGGGGTCTGGGGGATGATGACCAAGTTAGCATGGAGGGGAATAGATTGTGAACAGCCTGATCTCCTTGAAGGGACCCAATAGGTTCAGACAATGAGCAGAAGCCTTTCTCCAAGCTCTGCAAATTGAGTGACCACCCTGTTAAAGAAAAAAATTGGCCAGGCGCAGTGGCTCACGCCAGCACTTTGGGAGGCCGAGGTGGGTTGATCAGGAGGTCAGGAGATTGAGTCCATCTTGGCTAACACGGTGAAACCCCATCTCTACTAAAAATACAAAAAATTAGCCGGGTGTGGTGACTGGCGCCTGTATTCCCAGCTACTCAGGAGGCTGAGGTAGGAGAATGGTTGAACCCGGGAGGTGGAGCTTGCAGTGAACCGAGATTGAGCCACTTCACTCCAGCCTGAGCAACAGAGCGAGACTCCAGCTAAAAAGAAAAGAAAAGAAAAGACAAGAATTATCCAAACACGTGTTAAAGATGGCAAGGCAGACTTTATTCAAGGGAGGCCATGGCAGTAGGTATAGGGGCCACTGTGAAGGCGTCTTGTGGTAGGGGAGAGAGATTAGGCTCAGTTTCAACTCCAACAAGGGCAAGTGGAGATTTGTAATCAACCAATAGTCAGGGCTGGGGACAGAGGATGGAAAATTACTACGAAGAAACATCAAGGGTAAGAGGTTTCTGGCTAAACTGACTTGACAGGATCATTGCCGAATGAAGGCAGAGGTGATAAAATATTGAGGGTAGTCAGATAACAAGAGTGGGGAAATTTCACTAACCTGACTCAGCAGGATTCTTGCTCAAACTGGATTCTGAAAGGACATGGGGAAGCCCAAGGTCAGACCTCATCAAGCAGAAGACTCAGAGGCACCTGACTAAGGTTTCAGTGCGAAGAGAGAGTCTGTCATTCCAAACACTCAAACCACCTTAGGGAGCATGTTGGAACATCCTACCAGCTGGGTAGGTGGGATCTCAGAGTCATATCTCATTTGGAAAATTAACAATCCATCTCTGCAGCATTCAGTCTTTCTTTTTTCTTCCAAAAAGTCTGTGTCTTGACAGGTGTGCCAATGGGCAATTGTCACACAGTGGGAAGGAGGCAAGGACTCTAGACGTTCTTCTACCAGCAGGTTTCAGAGACAGACCTGAGTTCCCAGAGAGGAGACGTGTGGCTCATAGTGCCCACCACCCCTCTGTGGGGAGGAAGAGAGCCCCAGGATGAAGCCAAATGGAGAGGGGAGAGCAAGCCAGGAAACTAGCATCTGGAATCCCTTCACCTTCCAGCCAAGCCAAAGACAGCTTCTCCTGTTCCCACTCCTCTCCCAATCTGCTATTTCCTGTAGCCTGTCTGCTGGAGAGTAAAAAGACAAATGGAGCGTGAAAAAAAATTCTGCAAAAATAATTACAGGTTACAACAAATCAATTGGAAGTGTGTAAATAGCCTCAGGCAGGTAGCCGAGTCAGGGTTCTGCAGCTTAACACCAGCCCTCCCATAGCAGCTCCAGAGTGAGTCCCAGTGACCTGAGACTGCAAAGGAGCCCTGGATGTGATGTCGGAGGATCTGGATGTGAGTCCCAACCCTGTCCTAACCGACTGTGTGAATCTGGGCAAACGCCTCCACTCTTCCTAGCTTCGTTTCATCACCTATAAAGCCGAGATTTTGATTGGTACCTACTCAGTATATCTCATGGGCGGTTGAAAGTCAAAGGAGGTAACAGATGCAAAAGCGCTTTGGAAACTGTATAGTGCCAGACAAATGGAGCATCTTTTTATCTTCTGAGTATCTTTGGAATCCATCCTCCTCTCTCCATCTTTCTCACCAGCTCCAGCCCTGTCTCACCTGGGTGGGCGCAATGGCCCCCTGCTGGCTGGCCTGTATTCACTCTAATTTCTCCAGTGGGCTTGCAGCCAGCACGATCTTCTAAAAGCAGAACAAAGTCTGATCACGTACCTTGGGTTGTCTAATCCCTGAGAACTGGAGGGAAAAGTGGAATTGAGGGCTGAGGGTTAAAGGTAATTTGGATTAAGAGAAAGGGATAGAGCTGCAAAGAGGGGTGGGAACAAGGTTACACCAATTCACCAAGTATTCATGGGGGATGCTGTGCTTGGTATTGTGAGGGGATGTGAGTCTATTATAGTCTCCTGTCCTTGTGTTGCTCAACAATTCTTGGGAAGACAGAGTTTGCAAAGAGAAAACTGTCGTCCCAAAGACCACCAGGCTGGCTAGATGTAGAAGGGAGAGCTTTATTGGCATTACCAGTTTGCAAGCTGGAAAGAGAAAGTCTCCAGTGTGGACTGAAGGTGCTGTCTCTTCAAAGAGGAGGAAGACAAGTTGGGTTTTATGCCTAACAGTGCTGGTATCATACATATTCAGCAGGTTTGGGGGGGAAGCTATACGTATTCATGAAGGGAGATGACACATGCGCAATGGGTAAACAGATATGTTACAGACATCCCGTGTTCACTTTGGGGCAGGGTGTTAGCATTAAAATTTGGCTCTTTACATCAAAAGGTGAACTATAAGACACAAAGACAGTCTGTGCTCAGCTTTTATAAGCTGCCAAAGCTGGCTTAAAGTCTGTAATTGCTTATCAGAAAAGAAGGCCAGCCCTCTGTCCAACCAGAGTTATAGTGGTCTGAGTTTTAAATCAGCCTGCCAGCTCCTGTTGTTAGGGAATTTAGCAATGGCATGGTTTTTCTTATAGTTGTAGGAATTTAGAAATTTGCCATGCCAGCCAGGCCTTGAACCCTCCACCTGTAGGTAACTTTGTTTCCTTAAACTTAGGGTCTGTCTTAGGTGATATAGTGGTGTATATTTTGGCCTCTTGGATCACAAAACAAATAGAGTGAAAGTAAATGCAAAACTGTGTGCTTCTAATTTTAAATTGTCTGTTGCAGAAGCTCAAGGAAGTTCATGGTGAAGCCCCCATTTGAAACAGGACCTTGAAGAGCAAGGTGACTACAACACGGAGGGAAGGATGGACTTCGGAACAGGGGACCGGCTTGGGCTAAGATGTAGGGGCAGGGGGCACGAGTGTGGGGAATATGTGGTGGAGAGAAGGTGCCAGCATGAGAGGGAGCTGGCTGGACTCTGCTGGATTGCTGGCTGGGTGGTGGAGTCAGGTGAGGCAGGACTTCAAAGTTTAGCCTGAGGCAATGAGATCTAATTTCGGCTAAATGTAGATCATCTGATGAATTATTGATTTGCTTCAATGGACAATTTCATAGCTCAGAAGTGGAAGAAGCAAGGAAGAAATGCACCACCCTGAACTTAACTCTGACCAGCCCCAGGGAATGCTTGTTGGCAATAGAGTGACCAGGGAGGGTCCATAGAGGAAGTGACTGTGTCAGCCTGGAGTGGGTCACAGCAGGTGATGGCACCTTGGATATGGCAGTTGCTAGTGCTAAGCTTGAGGAAAAGGCATTGGAAAAGGCCTGCCTGGGAAAACTGAGAGATCAGTCCCCTGGCCGGAGACTTAGGAATGCCACAGGGAAGTTCCCAGAAAGAAGAAGGAGGCTCTGAAAATGGAAATCTGCCATGCAGTCACAAATCATTTCAAAGAAAGAAAGGCACTCCCTTTTCCTTACTTCCTCTCTCTCTCTCTCTCTCTCTCTCTCTCTCTCTCACACACACACACACACACACACACACACACACACACACACACGTTCTCTGCTCCTCGTGTCTATCATTAGGCATTCAGGCAGTTAATTCTCCCAGACACATCACTGAGAGTGCCAGGAGTCTTGTAGAGTTGAAAATGGGTGTTGCAAGGCTCATTACGGAATCCCAGAGAAAGAGGATAAGGGATTTCCCCTCCCTCAGCCTCTGAAGGAGTCCCTGCACTTCCATTTCTACCCACCCTGAAGGCCCCGTCCCTCACCCAGCCCACAGCCCCTGGCTCCCCGCCCTCCTCTGACTCTGCTCCAGGTCCATGGTCATGCCCACCCCAACTGGGTCCCATTTCATGTTCCTAATATGAGAAAGATCCTGAACCCCATACCCTTTGGAGTAAAGAGGGTAGAGGGGCAAGGTGGCAGGGAAACAGCCTAGAGAGAATCCCAAACTGACCACACCACCTCCCTTTCCCATCAGCTCTAGGCCAGTGTGGCTCACAAGGAAGCTGGGTGGTGTTTCTCCTCCCCTCCCACCATTGTGAAGTATCTTCTTGCTGCTAGAGTGCAGCACCTGGTACAGAGCGTACATTTCAGTGCTAAGTGAATGAGTGAATGTTCGAAGTGCTTATTGAACACCCATCCTGTGCCAGGCATTATCCCGCACCTGAAACGTCTTAGTAAACCAAAGTCATAAGAATTCCTGCACGAGTCACATCCACATTCTACTGAGGGTGAAGGCCAATGAGCCATGCACACGATAAACCAGTGCGTTAGATTCTATGCTGGGAAGTGTTAAGTGCTTGGGGAAAAAATAGAGCAGACTAAGGGGGATGGGGGAAAGAGGGTGTTGCAACTTTAAATAGGGTGGTCAGAGCAGGTGTCATTGAGGAGGTGACATTTAAGCAAAACCTTGAAGAGATGAAGAAGCGCTGCAGGGAATGTGAAGAATAGGAGTGAGGACCCTAAGGCGGGAGGAAGCGTGGCAGGTTGGAGACACAGCGTGGAAATGGTGTGACTGGAGCAGGGACATCGAGGGAGCTGGGATCAGAGAGGAGCAGGAGTGAGTGGGCAGGTCAAGCTGACTTCCTCAGAGGTCTTCCTTGACCACACTTGATAAGGCGGCCCCCTGGCCCAGCATTCTCCATCCCGTTACCCGCTTTGTTTTCCTTATTACACCCGCACCGCCATCCGGTGTGTTCTGTTCTGTTCACACTGCCTGCCTCCCTAAGGAACGATGTAAGGTTCGTGAAGGCAGGGACTTTACCCATTTGTTACCTGCTCTATCTAATGTCAGAATGGCTGGTGAGGGTGAAGAGGACAGGATACCTTCCACACCAGAGGCTGATGAGGAGCTGCAGCTCCTCATTCCTTGACTGGAGGAAACCCTTCCTGACACAGGCTGATTATTGTCATCATGAAGGGAAATCTATAGTGGTAAGCCACAGGGCTCTTTCATTGGCCTTGGCTGGTTGAGAGCAGGGGTGAGCTGTACAGGCAGAGTCTTCTGTGAGGGTGGTCCCTGGATCTTCCTCACAGGCAGGCAGATGTTTTGCTTTCATTTGTTCAACAAACATTTGTTGGGCACCTACTATCTGCCATGCACTCAGCTTACCAACTTAGGTTAGGTGGAGAAGGGAGGGACAGTTGGGATAATGCCACCCTAGCCCTATCCAGGCCCCCCCAGGTCCCAAGCTTCATTGGGCACATGAGTAGCGTATGCCAGGTGCATGCCAGGCCTTGGGAATGCAAAGATGAACAGCACAGTGCCTGCACTCAATCAAGTTGCTGTCATTATAGTAGTAGATGTGAGAGACATGTAAACAAATGTCTGCAAATCCACTGTGATAGGTATAGTGGCAGTGTATCCAGGTGACAAGGGGAAGGGGCAGAAAATGTCTCAGAGGAGTGATGCTTGAGTTGAACTCAAAGTGGAGTGATATGTCACCTTGTGATCTGGTGTGAAGTACCCCAAACCCTGTTCTTGTTGAGCCTGAAATGAGAAGTTCAATTGTATGGATTAGGTATCAGCCTCTTCCTTTGTGCTGAAAATAATTGGTGTTCCTAAGAAAGTAACTAACGCAGCACACAGTTCTGAGATCGCCTTCTTACATGTGAAGAAACCAGGTGCCATGTGAAGGGGGTTGATAGAGAGAAAGGAGTAAGTGGGGTTCCCTCCTCTCCTAGTTCTCTGTCCCCTCTCCACTTTTAGTGGTCTCTATTTTTAGGTGCCAAGGCTGTCTAGGATTCTCTCTAATCCTAGAGGCAGGAATTGATAAATACATTAGTAAACACATTTACCCTAACAGGCTAATGATCTGGGCTCTTCTCACTGCTATGCTTTCTTCTCTCCTGCATCTCCCGGGGGCAATTAAAAGTTCCATCTCTACAAGCCTGATGAGGCTTCTTGAACCCTCTCTTCACTTCCTGCCTCTGAGCCCAGCCCCTACCTGCCATGTCCTGGCCTTGTAGATAGGACCTGATGAACACAAGATTTCTTGATTTTAGCAGGAATTGGACAAAGGCTCCCATGGCTATGCTGTGGACAAAGTAGAAGAATAAGGCAGAGGATAGTATATCAGATGGAGAACTGATTGGTTTAATAGACAGAAAGAGCATTGGTAATTGTTATCCTGAAGTATCAACAGTATTTTAATCAGTGGCTTGAATAAAGACTAAATGACACAAAGCTTAGAGGAAAAGATAATACAAAGATCAACAAAATCAGATATCTAAAGACTGGATGAGGAGAGACAAATCAGATTATCAGCTGGATGACTCTGGAGACTCTCCCTAGCTAACCCAGCAAAATATTGGCCCTATAGGATGGCTTCAAGAACTCAGGTTGGAGCCAATGCCAATATGCAAACTCCTCACTCGATTTTACTGGGGGACAAGCTATTTCTCATGCTGGCAAGGTTGTAACCAATTGCAAAGCTAAAGATCTATCACTTCCCACATCCATCATTAATATGCAAGCCAATGGAGCACAATGATCCCTCTCCTGGATCACACAGCACACACATGGCACTCTAAGCCACGTTCATCCCAAGCATGCCTCTTCATGGGATGGCAAGGGTCTGAAAGGACCATATTCATGCTGCCAGCCTGTGCCTGAGTACTCACACTTTGAGTCTGCATTTATCCTTGCCCCCTGCTTTACACATTGGTATAAACAACATTTTAAAAAGCCAAAAGATAAAATGTTATATAGACAAATATGCTGCATTTGTGCTCAAAATATCAGTTATGTAACTATAGGAATGGGAAGACTTGGCTCCATACTTTGAAAAGGAACCATGAGTTTAGTGGATTCAGAATGAGTCAGGAAGTGACCTGGTGGCTTATAAGTGGTCTGTGGCTTCATTAACAGATGCAGCATCCAGATGTCAGGAGAGGACATTGTACTCATCTTGCCAGCCCACCCAACTGGAATCCATGCTTAGTGCAGCCTACTCTAGGCACAGGAAGAGGCAGGGCTGACAGCTGCCACTGATGTATATGCAGAATACGTACAAGACGAGTGGAGCAGCCAAGAGAACCAGACTGTAGCAGGTTAATTGGCTGGGGCTGACAGATTCCAAGTCAAACTGGTCCAAGCTCATGTCTGGGATTCTAAAGCAGAAGGAAGAGTCAAGAGAGAGGGAATGGACCTGGATGACTGCAAGAGGACCAGGTGCAGAAACCGAAACATACCATACTGAGGCAGACAGGAGCAGGTGGTTAGGGGACTAAGGCAATTACTGAGGAGAGAGGCTGATGAAAACTGAAGTAAAGGAAAAACAGGTTGGAGTGCTGCAGCTGAGGAGCCCCTGTGGAAAGCTGGCTGCAGTACCACTGTCTACCTTATTTTAAAAACTATCTCTTCTTTTTTATAAAAAAACCAAGCTAATGCATGAGTATTATTTTTAGTTTTGTTTTTAAAATTAAATCATATTGCCACATCCATAATTTAAAAATTGCAATCCTCTGCCCCAATTTTTTGAATTCTTGCTTTCTAGAACCAACTGCTTTCAACTCTCTTCTGTTTCTTCTGTTTATCCCTCTTTATTTGTAAACAGCAGATTATGCTACTATATTTCTTGTGTTTTTTTGTTTTTGTTTGTTGTTGTTGTAGTTGTTGTTTGTTTTAGGTTTACTTTTTTGGCTTCTGTATGAAAGATGAGGATTGTGTTCCCTCACACCATGCTTTCCCACTCTCCTGCCACCTATTATATTCACACTATTCCTTCTCCCCATCCTCTCAATATACTATTGTTACCTTATGGGTAAAATCAATGCTCTTTGATTTTGAGTATTGATTTTATGATGTTTATGATATTATGATCATGGAAATGCAATTCACTGCTGATCTAGGGAATACAATAAAACTACTTTATATTTTACCTGGATTTAATAGTTGCCTCATTGTTTGTTTGCTTGTTTGTTTCTTAGTTTTCCAGGTAGCTATCACAAATTCATTCTCAGAATTTCTGAAAGGACAATAAAAGTCATTGCAATATGTGCAAATATTAGGTAGTCTGTTTGTTTCTTTTTTCTTTTTCTACTCGGGGATTTCCTCCTAGTGCATTTTGTCCTTCTGTTACTTGTAACTCTCTAGCTTGCTACACAACTGTCTTTGGGAGCTTCTCTTCACCATTAATCTGGGAATTCCCTTTGCCTCTTTTCTGTGTTAAAACTCCTGTTTTCTGGATTCTGTGTTCACTCCCTGCTTGGTTTATTCACTTCTTTTGGCAGAATACACCTGCAAGTAGCTTATTGTGAAAAAATAAGTGGGAGGTTAATTTTTTGAAATCTTGCATATCTGAAAATGTTTTTATGTATTTTAATAGCTTTTTTGAAATATATTTTGCATACCATAAAATCCGCCCATTTAAAGTGTATAATTCAATGGCTTTTAGTATATTCACACAGTTATGCAACCATCACAATTTAATTTTAGAACATTTTTGACATCCCCAAAAGAAATTCTGTACATATTAGCAGTCCTCCATCATTTCTGCTCACTTATTTTCCCTCATCCTACTGCTCCAACCTCAGGTAGTCACTAATCTACCTTCTGACTCTGTGGGTTTGCTGATTCTGAACCTTTCTCATAAGTGGAATCACACAATACATGATCTTTTGTGACTGACTTATTTCAGTTAGCATATTTTTTTCAAGGTTTATCTAAGTTGGAGCATGTACCAGTATTCATTCTTTTTTATTGCTGCATAATATTCTAGTGTATGGACATACCACATTTTGTTTGTACAGTCATTAGTTGATGAATATTTAGTTTGCTTCCACCTTTTGGTTATTTTGAATAATTCTGCTATGAACATTCATGTACAAGTTTTTGTGTAGACATATATTTTCACTTATCTTGGGTATATATCCAGGAGTAGAATTGCTAGGTTATATTCTAACTCTATGTTTAGCATTTTGAAGAACCGCCAAACTATTTTCCAAAGTGGTTGCACCATTTTACATTCCCAACAGCAATGTATGAGGGTTTCAATTTCTTTACCTCTTTACCAAAACATTTCATTCTCTATCTTTTCTACTTTAGTGATCCTAGTGAGTATAGAATGATATCTCACTATGGTTTTGATTTGCATTTTCCTAATGCCTAATGAAGCTGAATATCTTTTCATGTATTTACTGGCCATTTGTATATTCTCTTTGGAGAAATGTCCATTCAACTTTTTTGCCAATCTTTAAATTTAGTTACTTGTGTTTTATCATTTAATTGTAAGAGTTCCTTATATATTCTGGATACATATGATTCACAATACTTTCTCATTCTATAAAGTGTCTTTTCACTTTCTTGATAGTCTCCTTTGATGCACAAAAGTTTTAAATTGGATTCCATCCAAATTTTCTATTTTTCTTCTGTTGCTCATGTTAGATGCTATATCTAAGAAACCATTGCATAACCAAAGATCACAAAGATATATTCCTATTTTTTTTCTAGAAGATTTATAGTTTTATTTATTTATGTAGAGACAGAGTCTTGCTCTGTCGCCTAGGCTGGAGTGCAATGGCGTGATCTTGGCTCACTGCAACCTCTGCCTCCTGGGTTCAAGTGATTCTCATACCTCAGCCTCCAAAGTAGGGATTACAGGTGTGTGCCACCATGCCTGGCTAATTTTTTTATTTTTAGTAGAGATGGGGTTTCACCATGTTGGCCAGGCTGATCTCGAACTCCTGATCTCAGATGATCTGGCCACCTTGGCTTCTGAAGGTGCTGGGATTACAGGCTGAGCCACTGCGCCTGGCCTGATTTATAGTTTTAGCTCTTATACTTGGGTATGTGATTCATGTTGAGTTATTTTTGTATATGATATGAGATAGAGGTTTAACTTTATTATTTTGCATATGGATATCTAGTTTTCTCTATTTGGTAAAAACAAAAACAAAAACAACAAAAAAACACTGTTTCCCCCACTGAATTGTCTTAACACTTTTTTGAAAATAAATTAAACATAAATTTAAAGATTTATCTCTGAACTCTCAATTTTATTCATTTGATCTATATGTCAATCCTTATGCCAGTACCACATTGTCTTGATTATTGTAGCTTTATAATAGGTTTTGAATAAGGAGGTATGAGTCCTCCAACTTTGTTGTTCTTTTTAAATATTGTTTGAGGTATTCTAGGTCCCTTTTATTTCCATATGAATTTTGGAATCAGCTTGTGAATTTACGAAAAAGGAATCTGGGATTTTGATAGTGATTGCACTGGATCTGTAGATCAGTATGGGGCATATTATCACCTTGACAATGTTAAGTCTTCCAATCCATGAACATGGGATGTCTTTTCATTTATTTAGATGTTTAATTTCTTTCAAAAATGTTTTGTTGTTTTCAGTGTACATCTTGCATGTATTTTGTTAAATTTATTTCTAGGCATCTTCTTCCTTTTGCTGTGATAATAAAGGTGATTATTTTGTTGATGTCTTGTGTTTTAGATTTTTATTATCAGGATTTCAAAATATAGTTGATTTTTTGTATATTGATCTTGCATCCTGATGCATTGCTGAACTCATTTATTAGTTCCAATATTTTTTAGTGTATTTTTTAAGATTTTCTATATACAAGATGATGGCATCTGCAAATATAATTTTATCTCTTTTTTTCCAAGATAGATTACTTCAATTTCTTTTTCTTAACCTGTTGACCTGGAAGAACCTCCAGTATAATGTTGAAAAGAAGTGATGAGAGCAGATATCTTTGTTTTGTTCTTGATCTTAGGGAGAAAACATCCAGTTTTGTGACATTAAGTGTGACATTAGCTGTGGTTTTTTTTCAGAGATGTCCCTTATCATGTTAAAGAACTTCCCTTCTTTTCCTAGATTGTTGAATATTCTAATTATAAAAGGCTGTTGGATTTGTCAAATGCCTTTTCTTTGTCTATTGAGATGATCATACGGTTTTTATCTTTGATTCTATTATTATGATATATTACATTGATCGATTTTAGTATGCTAAATCAACCTTGCATTCCTGATATAAACCTCATTTGGTCACAGTGTATAATCTTTTCATTCACTGCTAAAAATTGGCTTACTAGTACTTTGTTAAGTATGTTTGCATTAATAATCATAAGGGATATTGGTTTGTAGTTTTCTTTTTTTTGTGATGTCTTTGGTTTTGGTATCAGGGCAACACTCGTCTCATAGAATGAGTTTGGTAGTGTGATTTACATATTATTACATTTGTTTAATAGTTTAATTTGAAAATAATTTTCCTTTAGAATACAGGCTGGTGAAGTTTTTCTGTTTAAAAAACAGGTAACAAATATTTTAGATTTTGGGGACCACGCATGATCTCTGTAACATATTCTTCTTTGGTTTTGTTTATGTTTTTCTTTCTATAACTCTTAAAAATTGAAAAACCATTCTTAGCTCAGGGGCCATAGAAAATCAATCTGTGGTCTGGATTTGGCTCTCAGGCCACAACTGGCCAACCCCTGCTTTAGAATTATGAAGGCATCGCTCCATTGTCTTCTACTATTTTTCCTCATCCTTTCTATGTAAACTTTGTTGTGGTTTTGTTTTGTTTTCTCTCTGGAACCATTTAGAGTCTTCCATTTATCTCTGGTTTCTGGAAGTTTCTCAAAGATGTTCTCTGTTGTTTTGTCTTTTTTATTCATGCACTAGAAAATCTGTCAATATGACAACTGTCAACATGGCTATTCATATCCCTTTAGTTCTGGAAAAAAATTTAATTATTATTTCTTTGCTAATGTCTTCCCCCATTTTGCTATTCTCTCCTTCCTGAACTCTTATTACTCAAAATTTATCCTCTAATTTTCTTAACTCTTCTCTGTCTCCTGTCCCCACTCATCCCTGCATCTGTTGTCTTTTTATTCTGAGTCTTGGGAGACTTCCTCAGCTTTATTTTTCAACTCATTTTTAAATTTTGAAATTTCTGCCATATATATATTTAATTCCAAGAACTCCTTCTTATTCTCTGAATGTTTTCTTTTATAGAATCCTATTTTTGTTTCATAGATGCTGCATATTTTCCTACATTCTAAAGATATTAAAAATTGTTAAAATTTCCTTTTGCTTTTTTCATTGCATGTTTTTTTCTTTTTCCTTGTTGCTTTTACTATGGGGAGAGGGTGATTTGTCCAAATGTTTTCTTACTATTTGCTGATGAAGTGCATGAGGCAAAAAGAAAATCTGAGGACCTCACCATTGTGTCATTCCTCAGGTCCCAAAGTCCCTTGCCAGTTTTCCTGTTACCCTCCACCTTTCAGAGTCTCCTTAGGTTAGTGTCATGTGTAATGTCCAGGATGTTTAGATGTACTGAGCAGAAGGTATAGGGAAAAGCATGTCTATTTCATTGCTCCAGAAGCAGAAGTCCCCAATCCATTGTTTTTCCTATTTCACGAATGAAGTAAAAGACTCATCTATGTGTGCCCCAGATCACAGGATTTGGAGCAGGATGTGGAGTGATTACCATGGAGCTTTTCCTCCTGCCAGAAACCAGGGGGCCCAGAACATGTAAGAACCAGCAGTAGGCGCTCCAGTCATTCATAGGATGTCATGTGCCCCAAATCACACAGCAGGTAAATAGCAGAACTGAATTGTCATCTCACCAGGTATGGCTCATAGACCACCTGCATAAAAATGTTAAGTATGTCTGTTAGAAATGCAGATACCTTGGGCCCTAGCCTAGACCTTCTGCAGAAGGTGATTTTGTGTGTGTGCCCTTTAAGGTTATTAATCACCGCTCTAAGGAGAAAGAATTCCATGATCTCTTGGAGCTCCTCAAACTGAGACTCCATGATTCTCTTGAAGCAATCATCCCAATCGCCCTGCATGGGTGACAGCCCGTGCTACTTGTTTAATTTGTGGTAAAACTAGCCTGGTGAGCAAGGCCAGCTCTGGCTTACGGG